CCAAAAGGTAATTGAAACCAACCCTAAGCTCCTCGTTTCTCCGCTTTAAAGGTAGCCCCGATTACTGCTGACTTAAGCATCGGAGTGTCTACCCCGAGGATCCACCTCGGGGCCTTGCAGGTTGATCTAGAGTGCAGATACGAACTGAAGAAAGACTTCTGGTTTGGTGCAGTTACATTTTGGCGCCGTCTGTGGGAATCTGAACTAAAGGCTCCCTTGTTGCTCTTATTATGGTTAAAACTAGGTCAACCCGAGGGGGAAACTCGTCTCAGCCTCTTGGACGAGGTCAGATCCCTAGCAACCTTCCACCTCACCCCCCACCCCCAATCCCGAATACATTCCCTCATGTTGACCATACAGAAGGAGGGGATGAAAATCAGCCACACAATTCGGCTCGCAACTCCACCTCTACTACTAACCAAGACGTAGTTGCAACTCAGTTCGCTGCCATGCAGCAGCAGTTTGGTGTTTTTCAGCTGGTGCTGGCTCAGTTATTAGCCCGGAACAATCCTGGCGATCCACTCATCAACCTACTCAATCCTGCTCCACAACCCCCAGCCCCACCACAAAATCCTGAACCAGTTCAGCATGCTCCCGTTGTTAGTGAATCTCAGGGCCAATCTCACATCGCACCAGCTCAGCAACCCCTTCATGATGATGTCACTCGACGTCTAGATAGCTTAGAAAAGCTAGTGGTTGAACAGCGAGGTGCCCCACCTCCACACCCTGCTGCTGATTCTGTACCCCACCCTCTCAACAACAATATTATACTAGAACCTTATCCCACTGGCTTCAGAATACCACAGCTTGAAACTTATGACGGGACGAAGGACCCCGATGATCATCTACATGCTTTCTACTCTTGCATGTAGGCCCATAACGCCTTTGATGCGTTGATGTGCAAAATCTTTCCCTCTACCCTCCGAGGTAATGCTCGAACCTGGTACTACAGTCTGCCTCCGAGGTCAATCAACTCTTACACAGAACTGGCATCTGCTTTTGCCACAAAGTTTTCCAGTAGAAGGTTGATCAAGAAAACCACTTCTGAGCTGATGCGAGTTAAGCAGAGGGACGGAGAGTCTTTGAAGAATTTTATGAGCAGATTCAATGATGCAGTGCTGGAGGTTAATTCTTTTGACCAAGCTGTGGGAATTACAGCTGTGATCTTGGGTCTTAGCCATGAGAGGTTCCGAGATAGTCTGCTCAAACATCTTGCCAACACCTTCAGCGAGGTAAATGACAGATCGTTGAAATTCATAACCGCTGAGGAATATGCCCTGTCGCAGAACATAACTCCTATTAAGAACCAACACCCGGACTGGAGAGATGAGAATCCGAACAGGAAACGGATGAAGACAACACAGAACCGAGGTCCGATGCCAACTTCCACCCTAAGATTCGGAAGGCCGAACTCAGCACCTCCGCAACAACCTGCAGGTAAACCTCCAGTTAATTGGACTCCTTTTAATTTACCGAGGTCACAAATCTTTATGCAGATTAAGAATAAGATGGACTTGAGACGTCCGGGTCCAATGAGAACTGCTGCTGCTACCAGAGACCATACAAGGTATTGTGATTTTCATCAAGATCACGGTCATACAACAGAGCAATGCAATAGTCTGAGGTCCGTGTTGGAAAGTCTGGCGCAGAAAGGAATGTTGAATGAGTACATCTAGAGAGTGGAACAGCCAAGGTTTGTCAGGGAACAAAGGCCACAGCATCAAGGAGTCCACAATCCCCCAAACAGACAAGGTGTGGGATATCAGCAAGCCCCACCACCACTCCCACCACCAGCTAGAGTCATACACATGATTACGGGAGGTCTGGAAGTAGGTGGGCTGAGCTCTAAGCAGCGAAAGTTGTATGTTAGAGAGGTTAAGCACCAGAACCGAGCTTAGAAGCGAAAATTTGACGATGCTGAGTGGAAGAATCAACCCATCACTTTCACATTTGCTGATCTCGAAACAGTCGTCACACCTCACAATGATCCCCTAGTCACTTCTATCACGATCAACAATTGTGAGGTGCAGCGTGTCCTTGTTGACACAGGGAGTGCACCAAACATCATGTACTTCCATTGTTTTGAGAGTCTGGGGTTGGATCCGGCTTTGTTGCAGCGGTATGATGGTCCTATCTACGGATTCAACAACCAGCCAGTTCCAGTTGAAGGAGTCCTCACCATGAATGTTGCATTTGGAAGTGGCCGGAGTTATGTGACCCCTTCAGTTAGGTTTCTGGTAGTCAAGATGGCGTCCTCATTCAACATCGTCATCGGCCGACCCACACTGACTGAAATCCGAGCTGTGGTCTCCCAGTCTCACCTATGCATGAAATTCCCAACTCCTACAGGAATAGCAACGCTGCGAGGCAACCAGGAGGTGGCCCGACATTGTTATATCACCTCGGTAACACAACCTCAGAAGGGCAAGGCTCAGACACCCGAGATTAATCCCAAACGGATTCCTGATGATCGACAAGTTATGGGTGTTGAGATAGTAGATAACCGACCAGAAGATGAAACTAGAGCTGCTCCAGTAGAAGATGTGGAGGAGGTACAGATTGATGACAGAGATCCGAGCCGGAAAACGCAAATTGGGACTAAATTGAACCCGGAGGAAAGAGCAGAGCTAATAGCTTTTCTTCGGCCCAATAAAGATGTTTTTGCGTGGACTTCAGCAGACATGCCGGGAATTCCCACTTCAGTTTTTCAACATAAACTCAGCACCAATCCCCTCAAGAAACCCGTAGCCTAGAAGCGACGCCTCTTCGGGGGGGAGAGGTTAAAGGTTATTAAAGAAGAAGTCGAGAAACTCCTACAAGCCGGCTTTATCAGAAGGATAGATTACTGTGAGTGGGTTGCCAATCCGGTGTTGGTGAAAAAAGCGAACGGTAAGTGGCGGATGTGCATTGATTACACTAACCTCAATGATGCATGTCCAAAAGACTGTTATCCAATGCCAAACATTGATAAGCTGGTTGAGGCAGCTTCGGGAAATGAGAGATTAAGCCTCTTGGATGCGTACTCAGGTTACCACCAGGTCCCAATGGCTGCGGAGGATGAAGAAAAAACCTTGTTCTATGCTGGCGATGAGATCTATTACTATGTAATGATGCCCTTCGGCTTGAAGAACGCAGGTGCCACTTACCAGAAGATGGTTACCATCGTATTTCGAGCTCAGATAGGACGGAATCTGGAAGTTTATGTTGATGAGATAGTGGTAAAGAGTTTGAAAGTTGACGATCACTTAACCGACCTTGAGGAGACATTCAACAATCTCAGACAGAATAGAATGAGGTTAAACCCAGCCAAATGCATCTTTGGTGTGGAGTCTGGAAAATTCCTGGGTTTCATGGTTTCTTGGAAAGGGATTGAGGTCAACCTAGAGAAGATCAGAGCAATTGCCGAGATGGAACCGCCGAAGTCAGTGAAGGATATACAGAGGTTGATTGGAAGGGTAGCAGCTCTTCATCGGTTCATATCGAAGTCAGCAGATAAGTGCCTACCGTTTTTCAAAATTATGCGGTCAGCTGCCCAAAAGGATGAATCGAGTAAACAGAAGAAGTTTGAGTGGACTTAGGAATGCCAAGCCACATTCGACGAGGTGAAGTCTTATCTTAGCTCACCACCTTTACTGACTAAAGCCAAAGATGGAGAAATCCTCTATTTATATCTGGGAATTTCAGATGAAGCCATTAGTTCGGTTCTGGTAAGAGAAGAAGCCAAGCAGCAGAAACCAATATATTATATCAGTAGTGTGCTGCATGGAGCCGAGCTGAGGTATCCTATAGCTGAGAAAGCAGCTTTAGCAGTTTTCATTTCGGCCAAAAAGTTGAGGCCATATTTCCAGTCGCACCCGATCATTATTCTTACAGACCAACCCCTTCGGCAGATTCTGCAAAAGCCTGAGTGTTCTGGAAGATTAATTAAGTGGGCAGTAGAACTAGGAGAATTTGAGATAACATTTCAGCAGAGATCTGCAATCCGAGTGCACTCCAGGTAATTCCATTCCTACTCCGGAGCCTAATAACTGGACCTTATATGTTGATAGGGCATCTAGTAGCAAAGGTTCAGAAGCTGGTGCTTTCTTGATCGGCCCAGATGGATACCGAAGTGAACATGCTTTGAAATTTAACTTCGGTGCAACAAATAACATGGCTGAGTATGAAGCCCTGCTACTTGGTCTGCAGCTTTGAAATTTAGCTTTGGAGTTAAAACTCAGTGCGATCCAAGTGTATAGTGACTCCCAGCTGGTGGTAAACCAAATTAACTCAATCTGCGAAGTTGTTGATCCTGTGATGGTGAAATATGTAGCTCTGGTGGCCAAGCTGAAGTGCAAATTCCAGAAATTCTGTCTGAGCAAAATCCCCCGAACTGAGAATGAACAGGCAGATTCACTCTCTAAATTCGCCTCTGATAGTTCTTCACATTCCAGATCAGTTTTTGTGGAGGTCTTAGATGAACCAAGCTTCATGAAGCCACGGGTGATGGAGATTAGCACCGACCCAGGCACACCGAGCTGAACTGATCCCATCCTCTCCTTCTTACGAGACGGGATAGTACTTGAGGACAGGCAGGAGGCAATGAAGTTGAGGAGGAAAGCATCTCGGTATACACTTGTTAATGGGGTCCTCTATAAGCGATCTTTCTCTCTCCCTCTTCTACGGTGCTTGAATCCCTATGAAGCAGAATATGCACTCAGGGAGGTGCATGAAGGTGTCTGCGGAAGTCATGTGGGGGCCCGAACTTTGGCTCATAAAGTCCTTAGACAGGGTTATTATTGGCCCAACATGTACAAGGATGCCACTCACTTTGTTCAGAGATGCTTGAAATGCCAGTTCTTTGCGCACTTGACTCACCAGCCTGCAGAAGAGCTCACTACTCTGGTAGCACCGTGGCCATTTGCTCAGTGGGGATTGGATCTTTTGGGTCCGTTCGTGAAGGGGGTTGGTGGTGTAACCCACTTGATTGTTGGTGTAGATTATTTCACAAAGTGGGTTGAAGTTCGGCCGTTATCCAGTCTTACTTCCAAGAAGGTTGAAGACTTTGTTTTCAGCTCAATCATCTGCAGATACGGGATCCCAAATCAGATTGTGGCTGATAATGGAACTCAATTTAACTGCACCTCTTTTCGAGATTTCTATTCCAGCTACGGGATAAAACTGCAGTTCACCTCGGTTTACCATCCGGAGTCCAACGGCATGGTCGAATCTGTAAACAAGTGCATCTTAGAAGGTATAAAGCCAAGGCTAGAACAACACAAGACCAAATGGGCAAACGAGCTCAACAACGTCCTCTGGGCATACAGAACTACGAGTCGAACTGCCACAGGTATTACTCTACACCTGGCCTATTTGATTAATTTTATTCTACTTCTTCTGCTACGGTTTTACCTTAGAGCAAATATGCATAACGTGTAAAGCGCATTCCAAAGTTATAATCCACTGAAATAGGTGAAACACCCTATCATCTGGCCTTTGGTACCGAAGCAGTCATTCCTATCGAGATAGGAGTTCCAAGCTTCAGAGTCACCCATTTCGATGAAGGACGAAATGGACAACTGCTTCGGGAAAACCTTGATTTGCTTGATGACGTTAGAGAAGAAGCACGACTTCGAACTCTAGTCTACAAGCAGAAAATAGCAAACTTCTATAACAAACGAGTTCGACCCCGAACATTCAAAGTAGGAGACCTTGTCCTCAATAAAGCTGGTTTGACGGGAGTCGAAACTTGATTCGGCAAGTTGGCACCAAACTGGGAAGGCCCCTACACTGTTCCCGAAGTGCCGCACCCAGGTGCATATATTCTATGGGACACTGAAGGCAACCGGGTTCCCAGGGTCTGGAATGTCAATAATTTGAAGAAATTCTACCCTTAGCACACTTCGTTCCAGTAAACTTTGTCTTATCGCCATCTTTCTGTTCAATGTATATTAAAACTCAATTCCTTTACATCAACTTCACTTCATATTGATTCAGTCCTTTCATTGTGACTTATTCAATCACTTCATTTGTTGGGTTATGATTTTATTACACTTACTTTTGAAGTGATTTACTTTATCTTTTGTCATTTCTATATTTGAAGCTCGCCTCATATATATATATATATATATCCAAGGTTAGTTCCTTTGCTCGAGGTCAGAACCTTGTGTTAAATAAAGTTACTTTATTTTATCCGAAGTCATTCACCTAAAATAAACTAGCAATTCCAAACCAAAACTGAAGACTGACAATAAACCTCAAACATTTTATAAAATAAAATCTCAATTACAACAATGTTATTTACAAATATAACTAAAAATATAAAAAAAA